GCCACTCCACGACGTTGTACCCCTCCAGCCCTCTGCGCTGCCCCCTCCCCCACCCGGTGACCGTTGCCTCCCTTCAGCCATCGCTGTCTATTTGACAGCCACGTGGCGCCCTCGAGGCGTTGGTGGGGCAGGGCCTTGCAGAGTGGTGGGCCCAGAAAATAGCCCCAAGCTCCAGGCGAAGGCTCACCAAGGTGTCATTCCGTGAAGGGCCGTAATTCCGCCCCCCCAGGGTGCACAGCCTCCTGGGGAGGAATTGTCCATTGGACCTCTAAATTCCCAGGGGTGAAAATAACACCTGGGAAAACGAAACAAAAAACAAAAGTCTATGAAACCTTTCTCCCCTGTGGACCTTCACGTGTGACGGAGGGTGCAACCCTTGTGTGACAGGAGCCGGTGATCTTCGAGGACGTTGCTATTTATCTGAGCCGTGCGGAGTGGGACGCCATCGAGGTGGAGCAGAAGGACCTGTACTGCAGCGTCATGCTGGACAACTACGAGCTCTTGACGTCCCTTGGTAAATCTGCAGTTTTAACTCCTGGATGTTGGCCTGAGGTGGGGGGGGACAGACACACACAGCTGGGGTGGGGGAGCTTCTGTTGCATTTGACTCTGTCAGAACCGTCCTGCTTCCAGGGAAAGCAGGGCTGTTCAGCATATTTTGAACTCTGGCTACAGGGCTGGGGTAACTGCTCCAAGCACCTGCAGTCCTGGGGGGCTTTAGTGCTGGGAAAACGCAGGATTGGGGCTCTTTGAGCTGACAGCCGCCTATGAGTACATAACCACAGGTGAGCGGCCTGCCCTGAGGTGAGGCCATGGGCCGGGTGTCCCGTCCCCTGGGTGTTGTGGCTGCAGTGGGGCAGGACTAGCAGCCCATACCTGCCTGGGTGCAGGGGAGCTGACCTGTCAGGCAGCAGCAGCGTTCCCTGAACCATCAAGGTCCTCTCAGAGGACTTGCCCACTGCCACCAGGACAGGACGGAGATCTCTGATTACCTGCGTGAAGGGTCTGAGCCAGGCACCTGGGAGGAAATACCATGCCCAGTAGCTGCTCCTAGGATGAGCAGCAGATAATCCCTCGCTGGGAAAGCCTGCCAGCAGAGTTGGGACTCGGTTCTGCCCTTGTCTTTGTGAATAAATCAATCTCTGGCTGCAGCTCCAATGTCTCCTTTGCTTTTTTTCCATGTTTTGGTGTCATTTCTGCTTGGGCTCTTCTGGTCACGGAGAAGTGCAGCTTGGGGTGTCAAAGAGAAGGCCTTTATTTTCTCAAGTTAACAATTTATTCCTAAAGTTTGCATCAGAGTAACACACTCTGCTCCACCCCCCAGGTTACCCAGGCCCCAAACCTGATGTTTTATTCCGGCTGGAGCGTGGGGAAGAGCCATGGGTCTGCACACCGCAGAGCCCAGTGAGGTGGGATGGATCCGCCAGCCCTTCTCCAGGTGAGCAGGAACAATCCAACCCCCATAGGACCATTTACCTCGACGGGGTGGTGGCATGTTCCGAAATCCACCCCAAGTTCCTTCTCTGTAGCTGTGACCGCGTGTGTCTGGGGTTCCCTCTTGCCCTCCTGTCCAAATCCTTCCCTCCCCCTCACTGCCTGTTTTGGGGCTTCTCCCTCTTTTCCCTCTGGCCTTGCAGCCCTCCCTGCACAGAGCAGCAGCAACGTCAAAGGGAATCCGGAGACTGCTGCTCATCCCCCTCGAGACACTCATAATCTTCCCCCCATTCAGTCACCTGCAAGCAGGGTTGTGACTTTCTGGTGGCTGTTGGCAGCAGACAGGGCTTCCTCCTCCAGCCCCACAGCTTCCCCTCCCAGGAGGGTGACATCCATCTGGTTTCCCTGCAGGACACGAGGGCGACATGAGCTGGCAGGAGCAGCCTCCCTCACGCTGGTGGCCTGGTGACAGTGGGTCCTGTGTGCTGGAGAAGAGGACAGAGACCCCCCGCCAAGGTGAGTCCTGCTCCCCACCCTTCCTCACTGCCAGACTCTGCAGCAAAGAGCTCAAAGTGGCTCCAGCCCCATCCCTGTCCCCAGCACTGTGCTGTCATCACTGCCAGGGCTTCTCCCACCCCTGTGTAAGGCAACATCCGCAGGCAGAGGTCAGGGTCCCCCTGAACAGGGGAGAATGGATTTTCCTTACTGTCAGCATTTCTCCAGTTCCTTCAGCGCAGTCCCTCTCTCCCTGTCCCATCACAGTGCCCCAGTTAGGAAGAAGACAAACTCTTTCCAACCCTCTCTCAGCAGGAGGGCGGTGTGTGCACTGGCGTCTCCGGTCTAGAAGGCTGCTGAACAAGTTCAAGTGTCTCAAGGGTAGGAGCGAGTTGCTGTCAGAGGTGGCTGGCAGAGGAATGAGGCCACTGGAAAGCCGAGACCAGGCACAAGCGGTCTTCAAGCCTGGGAAGGGAGGAGAAGCAGAGAATAAACAAGGGGTCACAGCAAATGTAACCCAAAGCAAAAGATTCCCACTTTGCCCAGTGGGACAGCAGAACAAAGAGACAGATCCTCAGCATCTGTGTGGTGACCCTAGGGAGAAGCTTCAAAGGACTGCCCAAAAAAGTCAACACACCTGGGGAGAAGTGACATTTCTCCAGGGAAATGGGGAAGTGTTTGTCAAGGATTTGAATGAGATTATTTTGGAAGAGCACTGTTACTGCATGATGGGTGAGACACGGCTCTTGCATTACACCCAACATCTGTGTGCTCTGACGGAACACAACTACCACAAGAACCCCGAGGTGGGTGTCTTGGCACTTCAGGACCACGAATACTGTCAGGTGCCAGGGTTTCGTTATCAAGGCAGAGTTGGTAAAATCCTTCGTCTTGCTGGTAAGCAGCGGGCCACGTTTCACAGGCTGGCAAAGCGAAAATGCCTAATAGGGAAAATCATCAGGAAAGCCAAGCGTATTATGTGGCGTTGCAAGTCTTGGGTCAGCAAGGTGCTGGAGTTTCCTCAGGGTTCCTCTAGCACCAGCTGTCTTCCGGAACTTGCCATTCCTCCTGCTGAGGCAGAAGATGGCCCCACAGAAGGAACGTGTGGGGTGTTTAGTCCTCCTGCAAAGCAGGAGGCTGTGTCCCCCCAGCCTCAGAGCAGGGCTGTGTCCCAAGGAGTGACATCAGCAGCACTTTGCACCCCTGTGGTGTGTTTTGAACCCATAGCTGCACACCCACCCTCCAGTGCAGCTGCAGAGATGAAGATGGAAGCGAAGCACCCTGAGGTGTCCTTGTGCCACAAGGTGCAGTGGGCACAGCTGACCTGGAGCCCTCATGCAGAGCAAAACGTTGAACTTCTTAAATCTAATAATGTTTCACTGCATGATGCTTATAAAATGGTGATGTGGGCTGTCGACCATGTATTGGACTCCATATGCCAGAACCTGGAGCATGGTGGCTACTCGTGGTGTAAGGATGCTTCTTGGCCCGTCATCGTTCAGACAGACAGCTGATTGTCAGCAGGTTGGCCATGACTCTTCCGTCTGTTGAGAGAAACAGTCGGGGCCACCTTCCCGGCAGCAAAACCCACTGAAGAGAGAAGAAACGCTGTGAAAGGTGCATGGAAGCAGCTTAGTGCATATAAAACTCGGCACGTGGTGCCTCGTGGGGAAACTGGGATTGTCTGGGAAACTTCTGGGAAAAGGCCAAGGGAAAGGGAAGGATCAGTGTGGGTAAAAGGAGGAAGCACAGGAAAACAGCGAAGGGGGACTTCCCGGCAGCTGCGTGTGAGCAGGCAGCTGGTCGGTATGTTTTCTAGCAGGGCTGTGCTCGATCGCTGCGGTCTTTCCTGTCTTCTCATTAAACTATTTTAAATTATTGTCCATGTTGTCACACCCTCTGGTCAGCTGTGTGTGGGCTGTGCTCGCAGCCGCCCACTGAGCCCAGGCAGGGAGGAATCCCCCAGGGTCTTCAAGGCACCAGACTCGGCTGCCATTAGTGCTTTGCTCTGCTTGATGCAGGCAGAATGCCCTGATTTCTGGGGTTTCCCACTATTATTTTGAGCAGAGTGAATGGAGAGAAATTTTTAGGGTACAGTATGACAGGGGGACTATGTTTTTGTGATGAGACCTTGCAGCTATTGCTTGTAAAAGTGGACGGGGACATACCATGCAGAACCCTGCAGCATTCCCTTTCTAAAAAAAATGAAAAAAAAAAAATCATCCGTTCAGCAGATCCCTGTAACAGGGATGTTGTAACAGCTACCAACAGGAGATGGGTCCATGGCTAGAGGTGAAGCTCCCTGAATTCAACCATGGGAGGTGCCAGGAGGAATTGGTGGGTGTGCGGGATGCCAGCGAGGAAAACAGCAGCAGGAAGCGCAGTGAGGGAGCCTGGGCTTGGCTGGTGTTCAGAGGGGAGCTGAGTCCCATGGTGAGGAAAGCAGAGACTAGGACCTTCTGGAGAGAAGAGTCTTGCAGGACCAACAGCGCCCAGGGAACCACAACACTCATTGCAGACAAGGCTGAGGTGATTCTGGTAGCATCAGAAAAGCCAAATCTGGGTATAAGTGTAGCAAAACTGGGATGAATTTGTAATATTTTATATCAGAAACAGTGTGGGCAGCAGGGCTAGGGAAGGGATGGTACCTCTGTGCTCAGCACTTGGTGAGGCCGCCCCTCGATGAGTGGGTTCAGTTTTGGGCCCCTCACCCCAAAAAGGCCATTGAATGCCTCGAGCGTGTCCAGAGAAGGGCAGCGGAGCTGGTGCAGGGTCTGGAGCACAGGTCTGCTGGGGAGCGGCTGGGGGAACTGGGGGGGTTCAGTCTGGAGGAGGCTGAGGGGAGACCTCCTGGCCCTGTGCAGCTCCCTGACAGGAGGGTGCAGAGAGGGGGGATCATTCTCTTGAGACAAGGACCCAGCGCCAGGCCAAGAGAGAATGGCCTCAAATTGGAACTTTAGATTGAATACTGGGGAAAATTCCTTCACCAAAGGGTTGTCCAGCACTTGAAGAGGCTGCCCGGGGAGGGACTTGAGTCCCCATCCCGGGAGGTGTTTAAAATCCACGTGGAGCTGAGGGACGCGCTTTAGTGTTGGGTTAACATTTGGGCTTGATGACCTTAATGGCCTTTGCCCACCTCGACAAAATAAAAATACTAAATGCAGCTGTTCTGGGTGCAGCGCATCCTGACGACCCTGCAGTGGCCCCATCACTGCCCAATGACAGAGCGTCCCCAAGGTCACGTGCAGTGCTGCACCAATCATGCTGGGCTGCCGCAGGCAAGGCCTCGGGCCGCAGGGGGCTCAGGCGGCCGCCACAAAATGGTGCCGCTTTAGCTGAGAGCAGCCAATCGTGGGGCCAGTTGGTGTCACGTGGGGCAAGGGCACCGCCACTTCCGGGTGGGGCGGGCGCTGTGTGCGTCAGCGGACTTTGCACCGCGGGGCCGCCGCAGTTGCCATGGGGACGCGGCCTCCTGCTCCTCCCGTAGCCTTCCTCCGCCTGTGCTTCACACTCACTGAGGGGCCTGGTGGGGTTGGGAACGCTCAGAATGAGGGTCATCATCAGGCTGGAGGAGCTTCAAGGGCTTTTCCAACCCGGATGATTCTGTATGTAACTTCATTTATATTCTCTCCCACGCCTACTCCCGGGCAGTCCTACCCATCCGTAAAATATCTGGAAACCTGTAATTCCTCACCCAGCAGAGATAAAACCGGCCTTGGGCAGTCTGGTAAACTCCCTGAGTGCATCCCCTGATAACAGGGACCTAAAAATGCCTGAGAAGATGCCGGAGTCAAGATAAGCGGCTGGGAGCCGATTTAAACGAATCCCCTGGAACAAAGAGGAGGCGAAAGAGTCGAGTTCACTCCATCACCGCATACGGGCACGGGAAGCCCAAAGCTCAGCCAGCAGACAGCGTGAGGATGGGGACCCCCAGGAGAGGGGGAGGACCATCACTCTATTTTTACTACGTGTGCTCGGACTGTATAAATGAATTCCAAGATGCTATTAGCATAAGACAACTTTTTTTCCAGGAAATCTGCTGAATATGTACGTTCTTTTGTGTATATTAGAGCATTTTGTTAGTGGTTGGCGCACTCATTGTGGGGTGATCCCCAGTGCTGCAACCCAGAACCCCTGCTGAACAGTTATATTGGATTCAGTCTAGTTAACCATTCTGTTTCAAACAGGATTTGCTCTCCAAACCCTGGAAAACATGCAGAACATCCTGAACTGTAAAGAGAAGGTCTGGCTTGTGTCAAGGATGAGTTATTTTGACATAGTGCACTTGTAGCCGTGGGCAAGGATTATGCTAGGAGCCACAGTCACCATCTGGGAACAACTGTGAGGTCAAGCAAGAACAAATCCTGATCTCCAAACCCTAGAAAAGAGGTAAAATGTCCTGGGCCATAATGACAGTGTCTGGGATCGTTCTGAGGGTGAGTTATTTGACAGCCTGGCAAAGGGACTGTTTGCTTACTGGGCGATGAAACGAACTTTGCAGTGTGATGAAAGTTAACTGCCTTTGTTATAATACTGTAATAAACTATTGTAACTAATTTGCTAAGGTAATCAAGGCGGGTAGGTACACTTGAATGATCTGTAAATGTTAATTAAATGTAAAGTGTGCCATTCGGATTGGAACAATGTAACCGTGTCTCAGAAACCCCACCTAGAGCTGACATGTAACTGCTGTTTGAAGAAAAGCCCGCCAAAAGGATGAGATCATGAGGCTTTTAAAAGATCCAATAGGAGAAAAGCGCGCCGGGAGACCAAGGCTTCGAGACTTTCAAAAGACTCAATAGGAGGAGGACACGCACCCCAGCAACCCAAATGACCCAATAGGAAAGAGCAGGACAACTCTGACGGGAGGAGATTGGTTAAAGACGATGGCACAAGAGTATAAAAAACGCTGCTTTTTGGAACTCTGGGTGCGTGTGGTAGAGCTGCGGCTCTCCATGCACCCAGCGCTGCTTTGCCTATTGCTTCCCACCCTAAATCGATTGAACCCAAATAAAAATATATATTTTTATAAAAATTGGCTTTGTCTGATGATAACAATACAAAAACAGGTATGTTTATTGTAATATTAAAACCTACAAGTTAAAAAGACCCCTGCCCAGGTGAAGACCCTTCCCCTGAGCATATGTAGTAATTATTATGTAAACCATATTATAACTGTATGTTAATCACTAACCAATCAGTATCGTATAGCTGTGTCTGGAAAAATACTAACCTCTGATTTTTGTGTATGAAAGGAACAAGAAAACCTGCTGTTGTGGTGCTGGATTTGTGGAAAAGTCCACCCAGCACCCAGGCCTGGATAAAAACAATTATCTCCCCTGAGCGTGTTAAGGTTGTTTAGTGCACGCTGGGATTGGATCCACCTCTCCGGTAACATCCGCGGGGCTCTCCCGGCCCCCCTGGATGCCCCTGTCTCACTCCTCCCCAGCCGTACACAGCCCGGGCTGCCCTGCAGACCCTGCAGGGTGGTGCCAGCCTCAGGCTTCCCCCAGACAGCACGTGGGCCAGGGAGGATCAGCAGCAGAGCAGGACTGCAGCAGGCAATGCCCATCTGGGGTGTGAGGCTGGTGCCACAGCCCACGCCCCGGGGGTCTCTGCTGGATCCCTCTTAGGTGTGAGCCCAACCCAGGCTGTCCCTGGCCTACTGGCTGCCTGTCCCCTACCTGTGCTGCCTGGAGCAACGGGTCCCGCCGACCTCAGCACCCCCGTGGCTCTGGAACTCCAGCGGTGCCTCTGGTGGGAGCCGTTGTCCCCCAAGGTTTCTCTGAGCTGCGCCAAGGGGGACACCGTGGCAGAGGGAGCTGTACCAGAGTGTCCTGGAAGATGATGGGGGACAACAACGAGATCCTGACACTGCTGGGTATCGGGCAGATTCGAGTCCCAGATGTGGGACAGCCATGGCGGGGGGGTCCCTTGGTGATTGTGGGACCTCCAGCTCGTACGGTGTGACTGGTGTGTGACAAATGGCTTTGGGGTGGGGATAACTGCGCCCAACACCCCTGGGGGAGTTTTGTGCTGGGAAAACGTAAGATTTGGGTCTCTCCAAGCCCTCTGAAAATGTGACTGAGGTCAAGCAGAGACCTGGCAGGGAGGCCTGGCCTGGCCTGGCCCTCCTGGGCACTCAGGCAGTGACATTGCTCTCCTGTGCAAGAGGTTGTTGTGTCCTGGCGTTTGGGGTATTTTAGCCCCACTTTAACTAGAAACAGAAGAAGTTGAATGTTTAACGGTGTCACGTCCCGCTCCAGCGAGGGGGACAAGTGACTCAGATTCGCAAATCCCCAATTGGAGCGGACAACAAGTCTCCAAGTTCAAGCATTTATTAACTACCTACAATGCACTAATTGAACACATGATATACTGGCTAAGTACAGAGCAAGCTGTGGCAAGCAATATAATATGCTTTACATTTCTTAACAGAAAAAAGGAAAAGAGGGAGATAGAGGGAATGGGGGAGTACAGATCACCGGTCTGGGTTCCTGCGCTGCTCCTGCTGGCGAGGATTCCAGGAGGCAGCTATCTTCTTCGCTGGCATC